ACGCCTCTGTCACAGAGGTCCTCAAACCAGGTTAGTTCCCGGAGTCTGCTTCCTTCAAGGGCTTTGTGGATGGGGATGTAGTTCCTCTCACTCGGGATGGGCCATGCATTGGGTGGGAGTCCCCCCCCCTATGGCCTCGTTATGGTTGAGTGGAATCATTGGGCTAGGAGTAGGCGATATATGGCTTTGATCTCTCAGCGATCTCCAGCCAATGATTGTTTGAAGTATCAGCCCCTCATTGTTTTGGGCAACTGGGCCTCTTGTCGTCCTCCATATCCTCATTTCCAGTGTTGGTCCGATGAGGCCTTTATCGAGCTCTACCCATTGTTTTGTCGTAGGTTCCTGGGGCCAGTCTAGTATCCGTTGCATTACCGTGGCTTGGTGATATTTCTTGACATCCAGTAGTGCTAGTCCTCCGTGATTCCTTGGTCGGCAGAGTATGTCGTGTCGGATTCGGGAACGTTCCCCGCGCCACACAAATTTAATTATCACCGTTTTCAAGGCGGAGAAGAAGGTCCCTGGAATGGCTAGCGGAATTGTCTGCATGAGGTATAGGATTCTCGGTAACATATTCATTTTGAGGACCGCCACTCTTCCATGCCAGGTTATGTGTGGGTACAACCATCTAGTCAGGTCAGCTAAGATTGTCTTTAGAAGGGGCATGAAGTTGAGTCGGTATGTGTCTTCTGGGTGTGTGGCCACCCAAATGCCCAGGTACTTCATCCGTCCATAGCACCAGTGGAAAGCAAATTGCGAGTCTAGGGATATATATTCTTCTGTGGGGATCGTGATGTCAAGACTTCGCATTTTGAGAGGTTAAGTTTGAAGCCCGAGATCTTCCCGAAGTTGTCGAATTCTGAGAGGAGGCACGGCAGAGTTGTTCTAGGGTTCTGTACAAAGAATGGGAGGTCGTCTGCATATGCGGCCACATTATGGTTTGTTCCTTGCCAACTGTATCCTTGAATGTTTGGGTTCAGGCGTATCTTATGGAGTAGTGGTTTCAGGGACATAGCGAACAGGAGTGGTGATAGTGGACAACCCTGACGGGTACCATTGCTGATTGCAAAGTCCACTTTCGTGGCCCTGTTGACTCTCATGTTTGCATGTGGTTTGCTATAGAAAGCCGATATCCATGCGAGTAGTCTCTGTCCGCATCCCATGTGTTGCAGGGTAGCCATCATGTATGACCAATCAACCCTATCAAATGCTTTTTCCGCATCTGTAGATAATAGTAATAGTTTGGTCTTTGTCTTCTTTGCGTGTTGTTGGATTGAGAACAGTCGTAACGTGCTATCCCCGGCCTCCCTGCCCGGGATGAAGCCTGTCTGATCCGTGTGTATCAAGTGATTGAGCCTGCCCGCTATAACTTTTGTGATTAACTTGGCATCTACATTGAGCAGCGATATGGGACGATACCTACCGCATAGCAGTGGGTCCTTTCCTGGTTTGAGCAAGACCGTGATGGTCGCGGCCAGGGACTCCGCGTCCAGGCTCCCTCCGTCCCTCACAGCATTGATCGCTTTGGTCAGCCATGGCATCAGGAGGCCAGAGAAGCTCTTGTAATATCCAGTCGAGAAACCATCTGGGCCCGGTGCCTTGCCTGGTTTAGACACTTTCAGTGCCGCTGCCAACTCTTCTGCGCTGATTGGCGCATCGAGTGCCGAAGCTGATTCTTGGCTAATCATTCTGTTGATTGTGTCGGATAGGTAATTTCTTATCTGAGTGGTTCTTCTTTCGTCACAAACTGTCCTCGAGAGTGGGCGTAGGTTGTAAAGGGTTTAGTAAAAGGTCCTAAACTCTTCGGCAATTTTTTGTGGAAAAGGGGTCACTTCCCCTGAGGCGCAGCTTGCGTATTTGTCTGCGGGGCATGGTGCCCTTTAATAGTCTAGCTAGATATTTCCCCCCTTTATTAGTGTGGGCGTAGTAAAAGCCTTTTGTGCGTTGCAGGTTTCAGAAATGCTTTTTTGTGATGAGTTCTTTAAGTGCCCTTCTGTGTTCCATCAGTTCCCCGTAAACTCCGTGTAGTTATGATCTTTTGTGCTGGCTTTCCAACGTTGTTATCTTTTGGTACAAGTTGGTCATCTCGATCATATTCGCTTTCCGTTTTTGCGAAGCAATGCGGATGAGTACGCCGCGGATGACGCTCTTATGCGCTTCCCATACGGTTATCGGGGAGACTTCTGGTAGGTCATTTTCTCTGAAATAGTGTTCTAGCTCTCGGGTTATTTGTTCTCTGGTGACTGGGTCAAGTAGGAGTGCCTCGTTAAGTCTCCATGTCCAAGTCGACGGGCGGAACATGGGGGACTCCATTTCTATTCTAACCGAGTCATGGTCTGACCATGTAGATGGATCGATGTCAGCTTTGAGTAGGCGAGCGAGTCCCTCTTGCGTGATGAAGAGGTAGTCTATGCACGAGTAGCGGTTGTGAAGGGCGGAGTAGTAAGTATAATCTTTCACCGATGGGTTGAGTGTTCTCCAGCAGTCCACCAGTCTCAAGTCTTCCAACGATTTTCGGATCGACCGGATGCTACCTTGTGGGATACTGCTATGTCCCGATAATGAGTCTAATATTGCGTCCAAGGGTACGTTAAATCCCCCCCCATGATCAGTATTCCATCCGTGAATTCCTCTAGTATGTGCAGCGTATTTCGGAGGAAGGGGGCTTGTCTTCGGTTGGGAACATAGATGTTAGCCAGGGTGTATATCCTGTCTGCTATGACCCCCTTTAGGAAGAGGTACCTTCCATGCGAATCTTGTGCTCGCTCAAGTTCTTTGAATTCAAGCTCAGTCACTAGTATTATGGCTGTACCTGCTTTGTGTGTCGTCGAATGGTTAGAGAAATAGTTGTTCGGGTAGTGTTTATTTTGTAGCTTAGGTGCCGCGCCTTCCTTGAAGTGGGTTTCCTGGATCATGGCCACTGCTATGTGCTTTTTTTCAGCTCCGTCAGCAAATGGGTTCTGCATTCAGGTATGTTGAGGCCCGTGCAGTTCTGGGTGAGAATCCTCAGAGGTGTGTTTCGGTAGGCCATTCCCGTGGTGTAGTCGGGGTACTTACTTAGGTCCGAGTTTTAAATAACTGCCTGTGAAGCTCTTTGGGGTTTCAGTCAGGGCGCGGGTACTTGTCGTAGATCAAAGTGTGGGGGGGGGGGGGGGGGGGGGGGGGAGAGAGAAAAAAAAAAAGAAGGGGGGGAAGGATCAAAGGGTAGTGCTTAAGGTTTCAAAGACGGTGTCCCGAGTCCGGGATCCCGGGGAGTGGGACCAGCCGAGATCTGTAATGAGAGGAAGGTGTGTGCCTGGGTTGTGGGCTTTAGTACTGGTGTCGGGGTGAACCCGGGTTTAGCTCCCCTATGGGGAGACAAATTTATGGGTCTCGTGCTGCAAACAGCACTAGTAGGGCCTTGCCTTGGTACCCGCCCGGGGGTCGAGAGCACCTATAGCCTGTCTGCACTACTCTTAGCACGAGTAAGTGTGTTGGGAAGCGCGAGTCAGGCTCCGCCCAAGAATGTGATCAACTCAAGAGTGGGATCAGCCGCCCCACCGGACCCCCCTTAGCTACTGTCATGCTGGTCCGATTTTTCCTTATGTGTGGGGTGCGCCTTGGTGTTTCAATTGTGTGTCTCTATGGCATAGGCAATGCCGCAGATAGCGTTAGTTTTAATTCCACCCCCCGCCCCAGTATCCCCTGCCTCCTCCATGTACCCCCTGGGACGGTAAGCTCTCCCTCCGTGCCTAAAGTGGCCTAGTCCCTCAGCTCCCGGCTGCAGTGCGTTCCAGTCTGTAGTGTGGCATATTGGGGTGGCATACATTGCGTTTCTACAGATTACGGTGTTAATATTAAAGCTTAGGCCAAGAATGCGTACTCAGACCTTTCCCGTCTATCTTTTTAACGGTAGGTGGCTACCCTCTCCCTTAGGTGGTTTCATCCAGTGTCGCTCTAACTTAATGTTTGACCCTTGGAGGGGGCACGTAATGAGGGAGTGTATCCATGGCCTATGTACATGGTGCAATCAACTATAACATAACATAACATAACAAATTTCAACATTGCTTCATCAATATCCCCTGGTATCCCCCATATAGCCCCCTGACCATCAGCAGCTGCCCAGTCTCGACATGGGTCCTCTGTGTTCCCCACATGTCCTTAGTCTTGTGTGGAGGGTTCCCCCAGGTGTTGGGTTGTGGGGTGTCCCGATCTAGTAGCTTCCGTCTCCCTGTATGCCCCTCTATGTGTAACCGTAAGGTCCCCTTTGATCAGCAGTGTAGTAGTTAGTGTAATTGCCCGTGGCAGTAAACAATAATTGGCAGTACCGGTCATACGTCGGGAGGTCGTGTGTAGTGGGGTGTGTCGTCCTGTGCTCCTTACTTAACCGTCATCCCAATCCCTCCAGTCGTAATTATAGCTTATGATTTTGTCGTAGGGGTAGGTGCTAATTGTACTCCCCAATGTGCCTTCCCTTCCGCACACCACGCGCACGGTAGTATGCTTGTAAACACTGTGTCTCCATTCGGCAGCGTGGGAGTCAGGGGTCTTGGAGAGCGGATCAGTGCTCAGTTCGCCATGGTATTCGCCTCTGCCTTCACCCGGTGTACCCCCTCCCCACACATGTGTACCCAGGTCTCCGTGGAGAAGTGGCTTCCATTACGTGGAACGAAGAGGGGTAGGCCTGAGGGATGAAACCCGGTGGGAGTATGGCCTCTCGAAGCAAGTCCGCATTCCCATATTCCCCCCACCCAAAGTCCCCCGTGTGCTGTCCCGGCATACCTGTAAGTGTCCCAGTCCCACTTAGCTGCACTGATCAGGCATCAGGGGTCGGTGTAACTGTCTCTGGAGGGTTCTTTCTAGGGTTCAGTCTGGAAGGTTACATGAATCGGGTTGCTGTGGAGCTTATGACGGCTCAGGCAGGTCTGTACTCACTCCTCTGGGGATGTTGGGTTCCTGCACCATCTGACAGGTTGAGCAGAAGGTGACCGCGCTTCTCTCCGCTTGGGTCCTCTGTGCGTTCACTGTGTTGGGGCTGATGTTCCCAGTATCCAGTTGGGGACAGCCAGTACTGGAAGGCCTAGTTCTTTCTTGAACTGCGGTACTTCTTCTGGCCAGCGTATTGAGATCCAGCCATTTTGGTGTCTGGCCATCAATGCGAATGGGAACCCCCATTTGTAGGTGATGTCTTGTTCTCGCAATGTGGTCGTCACGGGGCGAAGGGCTCGCCGGGCCTCCAGTGTGATTGGGGACAGGTCGTTATATAATGCCACTTGGGTGCCCCTGTAGGGCCATGTTGGTCTTTCCCGAGCCTTCATCATGATAGTATCTTTAACTGGGAAGGAATGTAGGCAGCATATCAGGTCCCTTGGGCCATCCTCCAAAGTCCTGGGTTGCGTTGTTCTGTGTGCCCTTTCGAACTCTATGTGCTGTGGTGATGTTGGTTGCAAGATGGATTGGAAGAGTACGGTGAGTATTTCCACCACATTTTCTGTTGGTCCTTCAGCCTCTGGGATTCTCCGAATGCGTATATTGCACCTCCGACCCCTGTTATCTAGATCCTCGAGGTGTCTTCTCATTGAGAGGAGCATTGTTCCCTGGCGGGCTATTGCAGTGTCCGCGGTTGTCACGCGTGTTGTGAGGGCCTCAGTCGCCTCTTCTTGTAGTGTGATGCGGCCCGCGTGCGAGGCCACCTCAGACCGGATCCCTGCCATCTCTGCTCTGAGGGTATCCTGTATGGTGGTGGTGAGAGATCTGAGGTCGCCTTTTGTGGCCATAGAGGCCGTCAGGCTGCGCAGTCTGTCCTCTATTCCTTTGAGTGCAGTGCCGTCTGTCCCTGACGGGGATGTCGGCGCCATCTTGAGGCCTCCTAGCTCCCCGCTTGCGCCCGGTTGTGGGTGCAGGAACCCATCCAGGGGGCCCTGTTGGAGGCTCTTTGGGGTGTGGGGCTGCTCTGGTCGTTTATTGCGACCCATTTGGCTGTGGTTAACGCTGTTTAGGGGCTATTGCAGGGTCCGGTGGAGCGGCCATCTTGGTCCACGCCGTAACCACGCCCCCCATGTACACTTTAATGTATGATTCTGTTGACGACTCTTCAGCAGCAGCCAGCAGGACAATGGAGAGTGTATCTGCCACTACCAGCTGCTTCCCCAGCACATGCACTGCCAGAACTTCGAATCTTAGTAGTCTCATCAAAAGTCTCTGGCATCTCAGAGGTGCCTTGTCAATGTCATATGTGTTTATCAAAGTAACACAGTTCCATCTTCCTAAAGTGACATTCATCTTTGTTCAGCTTTAGTACAGATGTTCTTACTGTCTGCGATACAGTCGCTGATCAAGCTCTTTTTGAGTGGACACATACAGTAGGATGTCGTCCATGACTACTACAGGGCCCTCATGGTCAGTCAGGAGGGAACTAATCTTCCTTTGGAAGATCTCAGGGGCAGAAGATATATCAAAGGGGAGTCTGCGGAAACAAAACCAACCTAATAGTGTAATTAAGGTAGTCCGCAGGTAGTGTAAAATGTCCGCATTTACTTCTGCACTTCCCCAAAGTGACACAACAGTGACACAAAGTAATACAGAAAATAAAACCAAACAAACGTAGCGAGCTTGAACTCAATCGGATTCTTCAAATTATATTCTACAAAATAACAGAAATAACATAGTGCAGACTATGTGGTAAAATCACAAACTATATGTATGGGGTGTCTGGGAGAAAAATCACATGTACATCATCACAGATTAATAAACAGATTGGCAGGTTAGTACTTCTGACAGCATGTCATGCAATGCATATAACACGGTGAGCTGGTTTCAACATGTCTATTGCAGAGCTTAACTTGAGGCATTAGGCAGTAGGCATTACATTGACAGTTTGTTCCCTCAGCCACCTCTGGCCTCACCTGCTTTTCACTTGTGATCTCATCACAGAGGCCACACCTCACAACTTGCAAGACTTCTGCTGGTAATGTGTTAGATGTGTTGTGGAGTCCATGCTTCGACACATCACGGCTGTTTTGGCAGCATGAGGAGACCTACACAACATTAGACAGATGGTTTTAATTTTGTGGCTGATCAGTGTAAGTTGGATAATATTTTTAGGTTAATGCAATATATATATGGCTATTCTTGTCTAAATTGTACATTGTAAATGAATTAAAAGTTTGCTTTTAAGAAAACAGAGACACAGTCTACAGTAATGTCTGACTCTCATATAGTATTAATAGTATATATAATGTCCTTTATTTGTGCATTAATACACTTTTGAAAATGCTGTTTGTGTACATTTCCTGGCCACTAAAAGGAGCAGGACATTTAATCTCATTCCAAGTGATGGCAGTGTGATGTGACTAGCATAGGCGTGCGCTGCCTATTGCATTAGGATGTGCACCCTAAAGCACAAACACACATCGCGTGTAAATGTATGTGTGTGTATATATATGTGTGTGTGTGTGTGCTGTATGTGTGTGTGTGCTGTATGTGTGTGCTGTATGTGTGTGGGTGCTGCATGTGTGTGCATGCTGTATGTGTGTTCTGTATGTGTGTGGGTGCTGCATGTGTGTGCTGTATGTGTGTGTGTGCTGTATGTGTGTGTGTGTGTGTATGTGCTGTATGTGTGTGCTGTGTGTGCATGTGTGTGAGGCTGCTGTATGTGTGTGTGTGTTGTGTGTGTGTGGGTGCTGTATGTGTGTGTTGTGTGTGGGTGCTGTGTGTGTGTGGGTGCTGTATGTGTGAAGGTGCTGTATGTGTGTGCTGTGTGTGTGCTGTATGTGTGTACTGTATGTGTGTGTGGGTGCTGTATGTGTGTGTGTGCTGTGTGTGTGCTGTATGTGTGCGTGTGCTGTATGTGTGCTGCATGTGTATGCTGTATGTGTGTGGGTGCTGTGTGTCTGTGTGTGCTGTATGTGTGTGTGCTGTATGTGTGTGTGTGTGTGTGTGCTGTGTGTGCTGTATGTGTGTAGGTGCTGTATGTGTGTGTGTGCTGTGTGTGTGGGTGCTGTATGTGTGTGTTGTGTGTGGGTGCTGTGTGCTGTGTGTGTGTGTGCTGTATGTGTGAAGGTGCTGTATGTGTGTGCTGTGTGTGCTGTATGTGTGTGCTGTATGTGTGTGAGGGTGCTGTATGTGTGTGAGGGTGCTGTGTGTGTGCGCTGTGTGTGTGTGTGCTGTATGTGTGAAGGTGCTGTATGTATGTGCGCTGTGTGTGTGTGGTGTATGTGTGTGAGGGTGCTGTATGCGTGTGTGTGCTGTGTGTGTGTGTGGGTGCTGTATGTATGTGTGTGCTGTATGTGTGTGAGGGTGCTGTATGTGTGTGTGTGCTGTATGTGTGTGTGTGGTGTATGTGTGTGAGGGTGCTGTGTGTGTATGGGTGCTGTATGTGTGTGTGTGCTGTATGTGTGTGTGTTGTGTGTGTGGGGGTGCTGTTTGTGTGTGTGTGCTGTATGTGTGTGCGGGTGCTGTATGTGTGTGGGTGCTGTGTGTGTGTGGGTGCTGTATGTGAAGGTGCTGTATGTGTGTTTGTGTGTGTGCTGTATGTGCTGTATGTGTGTGAGGGTGCTGTGTGTGTGGGTGCTGTATGTGTGTGCTGTGTGTGTGGTGTATGTGTGTGAGGGTGCTGTATGTGTGTGTGTGCTGTATGTGTGTGGGTGCTGTATGTGTGCGGTGTTGTATGTGTGTGTGTGCTGTATGTGTGTGCTGTATGTGTGTGGGTGCTGTGTGTCTGTGTGTGCTGTATGTATGTGTGTGTGCTGTGTGTCTGTGTGTGCTGTATGTGTGTAAGTGCTGTATGTGTGTGTGTGCTGTGTGTGTGGGTGTGTGTGCTGTATGTGTGTGGGTGATTGTGGGGGGTGGAGGTGGGGGTACATTACTTAATATCCCCCCTCCCTTCTTACCTTATGTAGGGAGGGGGGATTCTTGTTCCTGCTGCTTTCCCTGGTGGTCCAGTGGAGAGTGAACTCTAGCCTCATGAGAACGCTCAGAACTCGCGAGAGGAACCCAGCGGAGCTGCTGGTTGAGCTGCCCGGGTCCTCTCCTGCATCCCTCCCTGCTGCTGTGGGGAGGGAGGCTTAGAGCAGAGCCGGCGCTCGGATAGCGCCGGCTCTGCATGAGCCGACAGGGGATATCCTGATCTGTATGATTAGGTTCTACCTCACTGCAGTCTCAGTGATTTTCAGTTAATTTGAAAGATGTGAATTGCATTTGATATCTGGGTTTTGACATTTCAGATTATGATCACTTTGCAACAGAACACAAAATTTGGGAAAGAACAGTCCAAATACGGCATTCGTCCTGATGGAGTTAAACATGAATTCATTATTAGAAAGTTCCACGTTGTCCTGTAAACAAGATGTAGCTTTTTTTAATTAAACGCTTACATAAGATAGAGGCCAATTATTTGGGAGTGACTCTGCATGTTCATTTTTTAAGTACTAAGTTGCACGAAGGTCTAGGATGTGGAGATTAATATTGCATCTACAGAACTGGAAGCGACAGCAACATATAGTACCTGTAATTGCGTTTATTAGTGAAATGGATTTCAAATTAACTGCTATATTGTTATGTCCTATTTCTTTTATATTGCAGTAGTAGATTTCATAGTATGTAGATATTCATTTGGCTTCAGGCCCACTTACAGTTACAGGTTCAATAATCCTGGCATCTCTTGTTCTGTTTAGCTAATGTCTAGGCTGGAACTGGAATGGACGATAAACGTGGATGGTAGCATTTAGGTATAGATATATATTATTCTTATTCTTCTTTTGGTTTGTAGGTGCTTATGAAAGTAGAAATTGGGTGCTAGAACACTGTTTATTAAAGAGGAGACTTCATAACAACCTATGTGCAATATATAGTGTCTACCTTTCACTGATTACAGTCAATTTTAATTGATTTCTAAAAAAAGATCAGTAACGCCAAAGGAAGCATTTAATTCTCCCATTTACATTAAAGATCTGTTTCTTCTCTCCTTTCTCCAGCTCAAGAAAGAGCTCATGCGGTGGCACAAAATACATGGTCTGACTAAAGATACCTTCTCCTGGATCCTCTTATAGTCTTCTCTTGGAGACAGCCATGGAACAATCTTATTGCCACTCACCTACCAAGGAACGACTGTATGGCATGAGACTAGCCTCTTTTCCAGAGAGCACGGGCCATTTTTGGCATTCGCTTTAGCTGACTTATGTGGTCCTGAATCAACACCCTGTATTTACCCATAAAGAGGAGTTTAAAGTTGTTGGAACATTCTGCTTTGTCTGGACAAATGTATTCTGTCAAATGTATTCTGTATTCCCCCTACCATTTTATTGTGCTTTCAGCATGATGTGCCACTACTGTTCTGGGAGAGGGCTATCTGACAAATCAAGCTAAATTTACCAACTTCACCCTTAAATTCCTTATAAGGTCCACATTATTTTGTCAGTCTGCCACCATTATATAAACAGTGTGCTCTATTTAAATCTTGTGTTCAATCCAACAAGGTAGTTGTTGGTTCGTGTATTCTGGTTTTGTGCTGCCCTAGGCATGACAAAACCCGGGCACCACCCACCCTTTCCAAAATTCTCTTCCTGACAGACACATGCCCTCACTGATGCATGCACTGACATACACTCACTGACAGATACACAGTCATTGTCACACACTGTTTAACCAACACACACGCTCACTGAAACATAAACACTCACAGACATACACTCACTCATTCACAGTTACACTCTTTCACAGTTACTCACACACTCACATTCACCGACATACACACACTCAAAGACACACATACACACCAACAGACATGCATTCACTGACAGACACGCATACACACTCACTAACAAGACACACATGCACACTCACTAACAGACACACACACTGACAGAAATGCATACACACTCACTGACAGATGCACACTCACTCAGTGTCAGACACACACACACTGAGACACACATATACTAACTGACAGATACACACGGACAAACACACATACACACTCACTGACAAACATATAAACACTCAGTGTCAGACACACACCCACTCAGTTGCAAACAAAGGAGGGATCTGCACTGTCATCACTTGTAGACCTCGGTGCACAGTACATAGGGCTGGCAAACTGTAACAGTCACTTGCGAATTATGTAACAGTTTACCAGGAGTTGGAGCCCAGTTGCAGGAGATGGCACAGGAAGGAGGCAAAATCCAGAAGCGCAGTACAGATTAAGGGGAAATCCAAAGTCAGAGTCAGATGAGAAGCAGAAGTCAGGGCTGGCAGCAGAGTAACGAAGTCGGTAAAGCAGGAAGAGGTCAGAGTCCAGGAAATCAGTCAGTGACATAGCAAAGATCTGGCAGGAAACACCAAACAGGCAAAGGGTCAGGAAGCAGAAAAAAATGCAAACAGAAACTGAAGTCCCCTGGTGGATGTCATGGCAGAGAACCTGACCAGGATGCTGGAGCTGTAAGTTCAAACCCAGCCAGGTCTTTTAAAGGGGTGGCAACACCTTGCTGTATGCAGGGCTCAGGCTGTGCCATGACAGAGCCACCCCACAAGGGGTGTCCTCCAGTTGCCAACAGACAAGGCTTCAACTACAGGATCCAGCTCAGACAGGGAATCCAGGTCTGTATAGTCATCTAAATCATCACGATCTGAGAGGGTTGGAACATTTTGCCAGTTGTTATTCTTTGAGACGGTAGTGCAGGCAAGGAGGCTAGCAGTTTTAGTGTATAGATCATTCCCCTGCAATTTCACTGATCAATTCACTGTCATTTAGGAGTTAAATCACTTTGTTTCTGTTTATGCAGCCCTAGCCACACCTCCCCTGGCTATGATTGACAGCATGAAAAAAAAACTGGTTTCAGTTTCAAACAGATGTAATTTACCTTAAATAATTGTATCTCAATCTCTAAATTGAACTTTAATCACATACAGGAGGCTCTTGCAGGGTCTAGAAAGCTATTAACATAGCAGAGGATAAGAAAATCTTAATTAAACAGAACTTGCACTAAAGAAAGCCTAAATAGGGTACTCTTTACAGGAAGTGTTTATGGAAGGCTATGCAGGTCACATGCAGGGAGGTGTGACTAGGGTTCATAAACAAAGGGATTTAACTCCAAAATGGCAGAGGATTGAGCAGTGAGGCTGCAGGGGCATGTTCTATACACCAAAACTGCTTCATTAAGCTAAAGTTGTTCAGGTGACTATAGTGTCCCTTTAAGAGCCTGCTCAAAGACCTTTACATCTTGCCTGCGGACCACGGTTCCATTGGAGGCAATTACACAGTCTGGGGACAGAGCCTCTGTGTTAGAGCAGGAAACTTTAGGGGAGACAGAAGGTATGGATTGGAAGGTAGCCACAGCAGCCTCCTTTTGAGGCTCTGGAACAGGAGCAGGGTTAGCCAGGGCTGTGATGGTGCCATTGGTTTGATTAGGTGGTGTTTTTGGTCCATTAGCATGCAGGGTTGTACCACAGCAACAAAGGTGTTTCATAGGCTGCCATGGAGGACTTGCTGGATGGTGACACAGAGCTCCCACATGGCTATGTTTAGGGCGAGGAGGACGTATCGGCAATAGCTGATGTAGTGGCCTCCCTTGCCACAATAGAAGCAAAGGCCTTTGGCTCTACTTCTGGCTTTTTCATTTACTGTGAGCATGGTATTCAGTGTTCTAGTTTGCATGGGTTCCTCTATGTCCATGGTGGGGATAGGAGTAGAGGTCTCACCAGCAGGTTTGGAACGTTAATGGGGCAAAAAGCTGGTTTCAAATTGCTCCTGCCTTCTTTCTCTGAACCGGCGATCTAGCTGGGTGACCAGAAGGAACAGATCTTCCAAAGAAGTGGGTACCCCAACTCTGGCTAGTTCATCTTTTAATGCCTCAGATAGACCCAATCTGTATTGCTCTATTAGACCAGTCTCATTATAACCGGTGTCAGCAGCTAGCTCCCGGAAATCTGTAGTATAATCCTCCTCTGGTCTTCTTCCTTGCTGGAGGGAACGGAGGGCAGTGCGTGCAGCAGAGGGTCTCAGGGTGTTATTGTATAATGTACGCATTGCTGCAGCAAAGGAGTCCCATGAGTCCAGTATTGAACTGTTTGAGTGCAAGAGTTGGTGTGCCCAGGTTTGGGGTTTAGTTGACAGCAGGGCAATAGTAGTGCGAACCTTCACATAATCATTGGGGTATGTGCGTGGTTTTAAAGTGAAGAGCAGTTCGCAGGCTGTGATAAATGATCGCAGTTCATTCCTTTTCCCAGTGAGCTTGTCAGGTAATGCAATATCAGGTTCAGGAGCATGGTGTGTGTTCCCTTTTAACTCAGCAAAATTACGCTGCAATTCACTTACGGTTTGGGACAGGAGGGTCACTTGCTGTGTGAGGGCTCCATGGTAAAGCTCCATGGTAAAGATCTGGTCACCTGGGGACTTATGTAACAGTTTACCAGGAGTTGGAGCCCAGTTGCAGGAGATGGCACAGGAAGGAGGCAAAATCCAGAAGCGCAGTACAGATTAAGGGGAAATCCAAAGGCAGGGTCAGATGAGAAGCAGAAGTCAGGGCTGGCAGCGGAGTAACAAAGTCGGTAAAGCAGGCAGTGGTCAGAGTCCAGGAAATCAGTCAGTATCATAGCAAAGATCCGGCAGGAAACACCAAACAGGCAAAGGGTCAGGAAGCAGAAAACATGCAAAGAGAAACTGAAGCCCTCTGGTGGATGTCATGGCAGAGAACCTGACTGGGATGCTGGAGTTCAAACCCATCCAGGTCTCTTAAAGGAGCATCCACGCCTTGCTGTCTGCAGGGCTCGGGCTGTGCTGTGACACAAACCCACATTCCATATAGTGAAGACAATATAATCCAAGCACTCAGTGTCTTTTCAAACAAAAGTTTTATTGGGCAAACACAGCAACGTTTCGATCCACACTCAGATATGTGTCCAGCTGTTAAACCTGCAATCAAACGCTATCACTACAGACAAAAACACAACTGCTTTCAAACTCCAACAAAGCACAACTTCAAACACGCAGGTACTGCTCACAAATACAACCCTGCAAGGATGTAGATCCCTAGCTTGCAAGGCATTGTGGGAGTTATAGATTTACGTTTTGGTCTACCTTGCATTAAAGGGCCCCCCCCCCCAAAAAACCAATACTTGCACCAGGGCCCTCTCTACATTAGGTCTACCACTGGTGAGAATGTACATCACAAGATGATTTTGCACTTGGGTGCAATATTTATAGTCATGATGAATTGTTGCTTTATAGAATGAGGCCACTCAAGATTCCTGACTAACTTTCAGTTGCATTAATATACATGGTGAAAGATGTCTAGATGACATGAATACAAAATATTGCAGGTAAAGGTTCAGCTGCCAACTACTCTATCAGCTGCCAATTTCGATAGAAAACAGACTGCTAAAAGCAAGAGAAATTAAATTCATCTTACCACACCTACCTCTCAGGCCTGAGTACTTAACGTAGAAAAGCATAGCAAACTTGCATTAACATTTGCGCACAGAATATTCTCAGCACACACTTCGTGACATCATGCATTATGCATATAAATTATGTCATACGCTTCTCATAATTTATTGTGATAAGCATACCTCTATGTCACAGTACCCCTATATTGGTGGTTCTGTGCCAATTTTACCATGGGAGATGAATATGAACTGTCATCAAAACAAAACACTAAGTCCTCAATGAACACTGTCCAAGCAACCTACTTTTCTACCCTACCCTTACCAAAAGGTGTCACTATACCCCATTCCCTCTAGCATGTAAGCTCATTGAGCCTGGCCCTCTATTTCTCTGTTCCTGTGCGTCCAACTTGTCTGGTTAGAAATATGTGTCTGTTAGTCCACCCATTGTACAGCGCTACAGAACTTGTTGGTGCTTTAAAAATACAGTAATAATAATAATAATAACATGATAACTGCAATACTTACTGCTTTAACTGCTTCCAGAGACTGTCCTTAAATGTATGCTTTAATATGGTTGCCTCCAAAGGTGCATCTAATAGACTGGAGTGCTCAGCCCAACATGAATCTAGTCTGAATTCCAAAAAAAATCACAGAAAAGGAGAATTGGGGGCACATATAAGATAGGTGATTTTAAAGGACCACTATAGTGCCAGGAAAACATACTCGTTTTCCTGGCACTATAGTGCCCTGAGGGTGCCATCACCCTCAGGGACCCCCTCCCGCCCGGCTCTGGAAAGGGGAAAGGGGTTTAAACTTACCTTTTTCCAGCGCTGGGCGGAGAGCTCTCTGCCTCCTCTCCTCCTCCGTTACGCCCCGCCGGCTGAATGCGCACGCGCGGCAAGAGCTGCGCGCGCATTCAGCCGGTCTCATAGGAAAGCATTTACAATGCTTT